CTTATGTTTGAAATATTATCTATTTTAATATTCTTGTTGATCATAATTTTATCCTTAAAAAATATATCAATAAATAAAAAAAGATATATATAAATTATTTTGATTTCAACTTGTTGAACTATACAAGACTTACTATAAATAAAATTAAATATATTTAATAAATATTTTATCAATAAAATATTATTTATTAACATGTATGATTCATCATTTCTTTCCATTTAATAATTAATAAACTTCAATAAAAAATGTTAAATATTTTTATTTTTAAAAAGTATAAGTATAAAAAAATAGTTTTATTAATTACTCTGATTTTGTTTGATATTATTTAAAAGAAAATAGATTTAATGAATTTAATTTTATATATTATAAGTGAAATATTAAAAATGCTTGATTATAAAATCTTGATCAATATTGTAATCAGTAATAAAAAAATGAGAATTGGCAATTTATAATTAACTAACATTCAAATATAAATCTTATCCAAGACATTAAAAAAAAAAGAGAGTAACAAGTAATATTAAATCAAATTTTGAATACATATGAGAAAGGTTTACCGTTCAGAGTGACTATATATCTTATTTGAGAAAGATTTTCATGAAGTTATTAATGTTTTGATAAAATAAAATATACAAGACTTCAAAATTTCTATAAACAACTTTATTCATCTCTTGAAACTTTAAACATATTTCATTCTACTTTTGAAAGATTCATTTTCTTCCTTCAGTATATGTTTATCTAATCTTCGTTAAGTTATAGGTACGTCTCCGTTAACATCACGGATTCGTTGAAAATGAAGAGAAAAAGAATCTAGGTAACCACACTCCACTTCTTTGGACAAGTTCATTATTAACTCATCCTCTTGTTATTATAATAATGGGTTTTGATTAAATTTGAAGCAAACTATAAGACTCCAAAAGAGTTGGTTCTTCTATAATTATGTTCTTTGTAAAGTCTTTACAATGAACATTCAGAATTAATTATAGTTTGCCACATAGTCACATAGAAATAAATGCTTCCCCATATTAATATTAAAGAAATGAATATTATGTTACAAAATTGAATAAATAAATCAAGAGATGATTGACCTATCCGTTCAAATTTGGTGGGACTACTAATATCCAGCGTAGTTGTATGTGATTATATATTAATATTTATATACTTGCATTATTTTGGTCTTGGGTGAGATGCATTTTTTTAATTTGATTTAAAAAATATATATATATTGAAATGGAAAGTGGGAACATTAATGGGACAATGACACAAGGGAAATGTTGAAGAGATAATGCATAATGAATGCAAGAGCCAGACATGCTTCCCGCTCAGAACTCACCTTGCAATAGAAAATTGTTTTTGAAAAATTGCAGCAATAGTAACCAATTTTTTTTATTGATTTCATTAATGTAACATGCCATTGATGTAATATGTTGTTTTTTCCTATAAGCAAAGATAAAATTCAAGAAGCAAACGGGTATATTTCTAACTCTTTTTTACTAAGTATGAGCATTTTTGAGGTTTTTACATCTCAGAAAAACAAGAAAGATGATTCATAATCAGACTGAAAGTAGAAAGATCAAATCACACTTACCCCGTTGAAAAATTATATTATTTTTTACCGTGAAAAGACCAAATCATGAGAAATTAAATAAGACAAAATTTCTTAACTTTTCTCCTAGAAATTTGAACTAACAATCCCTCCAAAAGAAGTCAACCACTCATTAGAAGAGTAGCTAAGAAGAGGCTAAAACTTTTATGAAAAAACTTAACAACACATTTTTTTTTCTACTATACATTGTCTTGATTGAAATTTATAGAAAACACTAAAATCAGGTAGAAAAAAACATTAAACAAGAGATAGAACCCTTTAAAATTTGAATTTTTCAATAAATGATCAATAATGAAAAGATATATTACTTTAAGACATATTACATTAATGAATGTAATATGCTATTCAATTTTGGAAACATAAGTTGAAACTTCTTGGAGAACACCCTTATCTCTCTTCAGTGATGAGACTTTACAATTTATAGTTTTCATATTAATCCCTAAGAAATTTGCAAACCTTGCTCAACTGTATAATATTCTGTACAAAATCTTGTGAAAAATGTTTGACCCTAAATACTATTGCTAATCAATCATCTTGCAACTTACAAATACCCTCTTTAAACTCAATTATAAGAGAAGAAGAATTTTTTTTTTAACTCAAATATAAACAAATTAACTCTTTCTTTGTATCTAAAAATATATTTCAATTAATTGAGATTCCATATCTAGTGACTATTTTTCATTTATGCCAAGTTCCAATGAAAAACATTTTAGAACAAAATTAATTTTGAAACACATATATATTTAGATGCACATTCAAATCCCCCAAAGTAATTAAAGAAGAAGAATCATGCATTAAATTGGCTTCCATGCATTCATTCATTTTTATTTGCCTGCTCTTATGATACTGCAGCGCCGCATGTTCTTAGCAGATATATTTTATGGGGATTCTTCAAGAAACTTTGACCGGTGAAAAGGTTCACGAACAACAAAGAAACCAAAAAGCCTCATAATCTTGTTTATTCATGCAGTTTGGTTGTGCTCAGAAATTGACCCTGCCTTAGGTGACCAAACCAATAAATTTTGTTTTTTTAAACCAGATTCCATCAAATTATCACACCCAATATACTCGTAATTATGGTCCTGAATGGTAATGTCGTGCTACAACTACAAGATCTTATGAGTAACGGATACTTTCAACAACATTAATTTAATATAATATTTTTATTTTTTAAATGTGTGTTGGATTACTGAGCAAGTTTATTTACGTAGTCTATATAACAAGGACACAAGTTACATTAGAGACTCTTCAACCATAATATTCACCTTCCCATTATAAATTGTTAGGTTTTGAAAATGAAGGTATATATTCTTTTTGAAACTCTCCACTCATTTTGGGTGCATGTTAAGATACTTTTATGAGCACTTATTAAAGTAAAAGGTGTACTTTAAAAAGAACAAAATGTAAATAAACAATGTTAATTCAAGGATATTACGTTTTAATTGTTGATTGAAATTTAGTATATTATAACAAAATATACATAAACACGTGAAATAATGTTCGTAACAAGCGTTCTTTATTTTAAAATTTGATATTTTAATTTTAGTTTTTCTTAAGATGTATAAGTGAGTTAATAAAAAAGATATATAAAAATTATCTTTGATTTTAGTTATCACAGGAAGTAGGATTTTCGTGTGTACCAGAATATATTTTATTGTTTTAAATTAATAATTAAATTTTATATTTTTATTCAAACAAATAAAATAAAGTTTAAAAATCAAATTATACCCATTAGAAAAAAATGATGGAGGAGTTGTTTATATTTCCCTCCTTTTCTTCTCGTTGGTAGGTTTTTTTTCCTCTCTATTTGGGAAGTCAAGTGATAATTAAAGTTCACCTCAGTATGGTGTTAATGCCCCGTACTGTGTATCTACCCTTTCCTGGTTGGATTTTTTCGAGATGCATGTGAGTGGTTGAACAAGAAAGCTTAAAGAAGGAGATATTTGAATCCAGGGCTAGATAAAATAATAAGAGAAACTAGTAACATGAAAAGATTTGGCTCTTTAAAGTGATAAGAGTGCATTTTACAAGATAAAATATACAATAATAAGTAATTATAAAACTAGCTATTTACATTGCAATCAATTTTATATTTTGTTATAAATGTATTTAATTTCATCAAAATTATGAATGGTTAATTTTATTTTAATTTAGAGCTGTAATCAAACACAAATTAATGAAAAGCAGTCCAAAAAATAAAAGAAATTGAAAAAGGTAAGTTGTATGTTTTTATATTGGCAAAAAGAATTCTTTTTTTAGAATGGAAGAACCTCAGATTGTAGATCCAGCATGCTAGAAAAGTCATACTCTTTTCCCTTTTATATTTTTTGTAAAAAAGTGATAAAGATCTTACCCACCACTACATCATGTGCCCACAGTTTAAACAAAATAATAATGATAATAATAATAATGGAAAGAGAATTCCTGTCATTGTCCTACATGAGGAGAGCGTCACATGGATTCTTATTACAAAAATATGATGGTATTATAGTGTCATCTATTTGTATCCTTCTCTTGAAATTATATTCCATCTGAGCAATGGCTGTTTCTCAAAATAATGGTATCTTGATCTAAGTAATGGCGTTTGTGATAATAATATTATTAATAATATCTTGAACAACATGCAACCAGCTTGACATTAAAACAAGCAGACAGAATTTTCGGTGATGGGTGGTTTTGACCCTTCATGGGGAGTTGCTGGCCTAATTGGAGAGTCTCAGCCCGAGACTTATCAACATCACCTATTTGTCTATTCGTGTCAACAACTTGGCTGTAATACGGGTATGGGACACACACCCATTATTCTTTGTGCATAAGGGTCAGTCTTACACCTGCATCTACTTTTTCACATAATCTTAATTTCCTGTTTGATTATCACTGAAAACGTTAAACACAAATCTTAAATGTTGTAACCCTCAGGGGCTATGTCGCCCAAACAAGGATCTTAGTGATCGCCGTATAATCGCCAAAAAGATGAACCAATCCTCGAGTTAATAATTTTAGAATGTCACCTCACAGCCGATAAACAAATATTCTGCAAGATCATAAAGTAAAGGTAGCATAACTAGCCTTTTCAGGCAGGATCAAGCATCCCAATGTCAGTTTAACTTCACTCGCTATAGTGCAGCCATCCCTTACAGTGAAGATCCTTATAATCCCAAAGTGGCGTGTAGAAATAAAATTAACTGATCAACATGAAACAAGTTGAGCAAATTCATCTTTCATTGATATACATGGTAACATGGCCTATATACAGGTTACAGTGTGGGGAAACAAACGTACTCTCTCTTCAACCTCCAATAAGCTTTTGCTCACCGGGGTGACATCTTCCAAGGACTCAAAATTAGTAAAAATTTACAATTACAATTCCAAACAAAAGCTAATATCTAACTAATTCTTAGACATCAGTCACGCAAAATTTTCCATCCATCCTGTTCTGAACAGCTTTCACAGCAGCAACTCTGGCAGCAGTGGCAGCCTTGCTTGCAGCGATTACTGCTTTGTTAACCTGGTCATCCACTCGTTTAAGGTTTATAGCACTCTCTGCTGTTTTCCTAGCAGCCTGCAATTGATAACACATCAAGGGGTATGAGAAAAAAAAAAAAAAAAACATTTGTAAAGGGATTCCCACAACCAGGAATCATTCTAGTTAATAACAATTAAACGTCCAAGAAAAGTACCTGCACTGCTCGAAGAACAACATCAGATAATGGTGGTAGAGGTTGTTTGAGGTTGCCAGCATCCCATTCACCACATCTTCTGTCACCGTTTCGAAAAGTGTATGAGCCAATACCTTGCCTACGACCCTCGTGCCATGCTCCCTCATAACAGTGGCCGTTGGCAAAGTGGTAGACCCCAAATCCATGTATCTTGTCTCCGAAATACTCTCCGGCATACCTATCTCCATTTCTGCAGCACAACAATTCCCCAAAATAAGATTTTTGAAAAAAATCTCCGAAACATCATGTATTATTGTCTACCGTAACCTCCCAAGAAACAATAAATGTTAATTAAAAGAAGAAAAAACCTTTGCAATTCCACCATTAGTAGACAAAATCACGCAACATCTTAGAACAAGCGCCATGAATGAGCAACAGAGATACCAATCAATCGGTTGCCTAACAACCAATACATCTAAATTTGGAATAATACGCAGGAATAATTTCATCTAAAAGGAAACAAGTGGAATTTGTTCAAGTTCAACATAGCTATGTTATAAAATGGTAGTGGAACCAAGCAAGCAACAATCCAAAAGGGGGGAAATACCAAACCAAGTCCTGTAAAGCCATCCTTAATTACAAATCTAAGGAAAACAGAACCATCACGAAAATCCGGATCTTTAAAGGAAGCCAATGACCAGAGCAAAAGCAAAGACTGAATCACACAATGATCAAATAAAAGGAATCAACGACACAATCAGGATAATTGAGTGCAAAACATAAAAAACATTAAAAGCAAGCAACTGACCTAAAATGATAACAGCCAAGACCGTGCTTGACCCCATACTTAAATTGCCCAATGTAACAGCTAGCATCGGAGCAAGTCTGAAGCCCCACGCCATGGCTCTGACCGTTACACCACTCTCCGGAATAAGAGTCCCCCGTGTAGAACCTATAAACCCCATGACCGTGCCTCAATCCTTGTCTATACTGACCCCTATAGCGACTCCCCCTCGCCCAGCTCTCAATTCCGTACCCATCGTACCTTCCATCAACCCAATCCCCTTCGTACCTCCCATTCACGAAGTAATGATACACCCCACTCCCGTTGCTCCTCCCCTTATGAAACTCCCCCTCGTAAAAATCCCCATTGCTGTAAAACTCCACCCCTTCTCTCACTATCTTCACCGCCTTCCTCCCCGCCCCGGCCGGCTCTCCGATGAACCACTGCACCGGCCTCGACGCTACTGCCTTCGAAAACCCCAACCGCTTCACATTCTCCTCCCACGAATGCTTCGCCGCGGAAAAGGATCTCTGAATCAGACCCTTGTTCTTGGAGACAAAGTAGAGAGCTACGGCCACGAAAATCAGCGCGAGCAAAACGTTCTCCGAGGAAGACACCTCGAGGTAGAAGAAGTAGAACAAAAGTGAACACGCGCCCAGGAAAAAGACCGCCAGAGCGGAATAGGCGGAAGACCGGTGGGCTTGGGCACGAGGTCGCGGTCGGGCTTGGGCTTGGGGTTTCTTGGGCTTGTTGTTCTTGTCGTCGTCAACATCGAGAAGTAGCTTTTCCTGTTCCTGTAATTCGTGTTCCTCTTTGGTGACGATGGAAGAGAGGCTGTGGATGGAGGATCGAATTGCGGGGGAAGAACAACTAAGAAGCGAGGAATGGGTTCTGGTAAGCTTGCTCCCACTCTTCTGATTTTCCATGTTCGCAGTCTTCATTCAGATCGAGGTTTCCGGTACCGGGATATTGTCCCCGCCGGCGACATCTACGTGAACCATTTGATTGAAGCGTAGCGAAACGCAAGACACGTAACCTTACGGCACTGCGCGGAAGGTTCTTGAAAGAGAGAAGGAGAAGTAGTGAGTTGTTGTTCGGAGGGTAAAAATGAAGGGAGCGTGGAGTGGGTGCCGGGTTTGCTGTATTTATGGGGCATTCACAACGAAGACTTAGATTCCACGTTGGCCGTTCGATGGTAAGACCGTGGGGCTCCCTTTCTGGCCGTTCGATGTCTGGGTCCCGCTCTTGACGGGTAGATATGGTCGTCGGATTGGGATTGATTCGGCGTCGTGCCTTTTTCCCTTTATTGTACCTGGCCGGCACGTGCCGCCACGCTTTTTTTTTTTTTTTTTTGCCATCTGACTCGTTCGCTTCAGGTTAATTTTGGCCCCTTCTTTAATCACCCTTCGTTTCACATCATGGTTTCGGGTTTTTCACTTGATATCTGAAGATTATATCCCATGTTTCGCGCTCTATTTGGTCTACCATGTATACCGTTTAAAAAATGTAAACAAAAAATATATATATTCTGTTTTGGGTTCTTTTTAAGCCAAAAGGAAAAGAATTTAACGTTCTGTTTTCCTTTATCTTCGTATTGTTTGAAAGAGTAATGTCTCGTGAGAATGTCATGGAGACCCTATCTGTACTTTCTTTCTAACATTTTTCATTAATTAGAACTTAATAAAAACCATTATTTTTATGATTAAAAAATATTAAATAATATAATTAACATTCTTCACGTCATATATGCGTACCGTTGGGATTAAAACAGGTCATATAATCAGAGACAGTAATTACTTATCATCTGTCATCTTACAAGAAATCTATTCGTTACTCACAAAATATCAGTTTTAAATATAATTCTAAAGGATTAGTTCAAATAAAATTAGTTTCTCTAAAATAACTTCAATTTCACTAATTTAAATCAAAATACATAAATGAATAAAACATATTTTAAAACAATTATTTAAAGTTGATGGTAATGCTCCTCTCATATAAAAAAACGACTTTAATCACTTAATTTTAAAAGAAAATCCAAATACTATTGTTATAATCAGAATAATATGTTAAAAAAATTGAATTAAATTTTATTAGACAAATGATTGAAGGATAGATAAAAAAAATCATTTAAAAAAAAACTAGAGTGTTCAATTACCCTGCTTTATAATATTTAAATTAGAAAAAATATTTGTAATAAATTAACATTTAGCACTAGAAGCTCCGTTACTATTTATGTAAATGATATCAGAATTATACAGAAAGAGAAAGAGCGAGGTTTAAGATTTCATTTACACTAAATTTAAATATTTAAACTAAATTGTAACCGTTAATTTTATTAAACATGTTGATTTAGATAAATTTATTTGAGCCACATGTTGTTCTCTTTCGTATTGTATGGTTCTATGTTTCATTTGAGTGACTTGCTTAATTAATCTAAACCATCAAATTCAATAAAATTAACTATTGAAATAGAGTTATATTTATTTTTTCTCTTGTTCATTTTTCTTCACTTACCAACATATTTAATATTAGTTAAATGTATTCATGAATAAAAATATGTTATTGCAGCATCAACAAAATGAGAGTAAAAATACTAATATCGTTTTTTTTTTTCTTATACCGAGCGAAGTGACAGAGCAAATAAAGTTGTTTTACTATTAGTTGGTGTTTACCCTTCTTCGGATTTTAACTATCAAGAAGCCTTTTTGTTTCTTCTTCTGGAGTTTTCCTTGCTGCCCAAAATGATGATTACACTTGGCACACAAAATAGCTGAGCATTTCAAAATGCTAAAGGCGTAAATAGATCTAAGCAGAAGACACATAAAAGGTAGATACCAACTTTAATGCATTCAGGCCATGTCACGTGTATATGCAAAGCAAGTGAATGCTTTATTTTTTATTCATGTAATGTGTAATTCTACTTTTGATCATATGCTATTTCGAAATTTGAAATGTGTCACTACTAAAATTACCTTTTCTACAGTGAAGAAGGTGAAGGTAAAGGTAAAGGAAGAAGAAGATTGTGGTTGAGCATTCACAACATACTTGGGTGCATTGAACATGTCTAATTTATTCCTAACTCGTGTAGTTGGTTAGTTGTTTTACTCACTCTTGTCAACACTGTAAGTTCATTGTAGGTTTCCACATTGTGATGAAGTTAGTCTTGAGAATTTTGGTCAAGTCAAATACGAGTGAATTAAAGGTTACATTTGAGAGGAATGGGCAAAATATAAACCTTGTAAGAGAACAAGATTTACAAATGAAATGTTTTAGTTTTTGGTCAACATAATGTAATATCAGATTCATTAATTCATTTGATGTAGTTATCCATGATCATGACAAGTTGCATCTAAGTGTATGTAGGGTTCGAATGATGGACAAACAGAGGCGATTGATGAATCCATGTGGAAGTAAGTCCCTTGTGAATGAAGTATGTGTGCATGTTGGGCCCTTCTCAATATTTGTGTGAGTAGGACTCTAATGAGGGACAACTAAGAATTTTATAAATGTAATTATGTTTTGCTAGATTATATTATGTTAATCAAGTATTAACAATTGTAGATCAGCCTCAATTATGAAATGATTATGACTAGTTATGTTTATGGTGATGATGAATTATATTATATATTTTTTACATTAAGATGTGTAGTGTGAAGTTCACTATTGTAGCTAATACATAACTCAATATATATATATATATATATATATATATATATATATATATATATATATATATATATATATATATATATATGAATTTTTACCTCCGTCCATTTACGAACAAAGACATTGGATATATTAAGTTGAACGAATGTTTAAATTTAATTGCGTAAAAACTATTTATAAGATTTAAATTAAAAAAAAAAAACTAAACTTCTTCTTGTCCGCACAAACATTAATAATCATATTTTCAATATTTTTTAAATTGAATTTATCATTAAATTAATAAAAATATAAATTTAAAATTTAAAATTGAATCGAAATTTATTTATTAATTAAATTTAATAAATAATATTTTTATAATATAATAAATATATAATAAAATTACTAATAATAATAATTTTTGAAAATATCAGAAATTATTATGTTTATCGTAAATTATAATAATAATTAAAAAATAAAATACATTAGATAATAAAAAATGAATAATAGATAAAAGTAAAATGAAAATATAATAAAATAAATATTATATAAAATTAATTGATTAATATGAGGTAAAAAACAAATTATAATTTTTATAAACAAAATATATTTAAATTTTTTTAAAATATAAATCTTTACAAAAAATTCTAAAATTTATCGATCCAAAAATTCACTTAACTTTTTCGGGTTTATTATTTTTTTTAGTGGTTTTTTTCTATTTGATATCGATTCAATGAAATCCAATTATTTAGAGGGAAGAGACTAACTTTTAGACTGATTTTTGACAGGATAAGTCGGTCTAATTCAATTTTCAAAATCTGTATGTAGTTTGGTTGAAATAAAAGGTTTGAAATTCAATTAATTTTTTACCTTAAAATATTTAAAAAAATCATGAAAACTGAACTTTATATGTTATTATTATGCGAACTAGGAAAGTAAATTAGCAACATATTGCACAATAAAGTGAAAATATTTCGAAAATGACAAATCAAAATTGATTATAAAAGGATATCTTAATTTTAAAAATTTCACACCTATATTCAAATATTACTTTTATGGACAAACAACTTATGTTAAATAATTTTCATTGGAGATATTTTGGTGTTACTTTCAATAAAACTAATAAATAAGAAATGCGAAACAAACAACCACGCAACACATTGGTGAGAATAATTAACGTGAAGTAACATGAAAATTCAAATATTTTATGAAGGAATAAAATGAAACAAAAAGAGAAAATTTCAGTACAATTTTTGCAATGTAATGTATGGCAGTAGGAAAAGATAAACGAAAAGGAAGAATGTGTGGTTGTAAAAGGGTGTGGTAAGACTGCCATACAAGCTTGTAAGTCGTAACAATCAAATATGCTTATCCTGTCTTCCGTTACCAAGTACAAATAATTCACACCTCATTCATTTGAGCCACGTATTGTCTTGTCTTCCTCTGTTCCAGCTGGGCCTAGAGATGAAATCACATCACATTTTAACATTTTTATTTCTCCATTAAGCACGACAACTTTGCCTACATATACCGTTGCTAACTCTAGTAATGTTGTAACACTTCCCTTTATAATCTCCCTTTGCACCAGTTACAGACTATGCCTCTCTGAGCATTTCCATCCATGGATCCAACAAAGTGGCTACTCAATATCATTTTGTTGATCCTAGGTTGCCACTTAGGATATGAAGAATTTTATTATTTAAAGTTATTCATCTGTTTTTAGTGAATTCTAAAATATATCTCACATTTTAATATTCTTTTTTAATTTTTAACATAAGTTGAAGTATTGTTCATACAGTTACTGACATCTGACCATTAATTTTGGATGGACTAAATAATATATTATTAATAAATAATAAATAAATATAAAAAGAAGAAAAAAGATGAAAAGGTAAAAAGATAAAATTATAGATATATACTTAAATATATTAAATGATCGTTAAGTTTGTGGGGACAAAATCATAAATTATATAAGAATTACAATATTTAGGAGAGATTGAGAGGATAAAATTGTAAATATATAAGTAAATATATTAAATGTTACATTAAGTTTATGGGATCAAAATCATAAATCACATATACCTCAACTCCCAATAAGATACGCCGCATACACTTTGGTGAAAAACAGCCAGAGCGTGAAAACTCTTCACCTGCTCTAACCACAGTTCTTCCGGATTCTTGGAGTGAAGAATTCAGTCAAGAATTGCTTGTCCTACAGCAAAATTTTAATTTTTCAATTTGATACAAAATTGTCGATTTAATCGAGGGCGTGAATATGCTGGGTTGAAGAAGATGATGATGCATACAATATAATTACCCCCATAAGGTCGAATTATAGAACCAAGCATCATGCAAAGACAACCCACGCTTGGATGGAGCCAAATGTTTATATGATTGATGATTGATGTGTCAAATCCAAAGGGTGGGATCTTGTCATTGCCTCTCCACATACATTAATTGAAGGTTATAAAACGTGTAACATTGATGGATTATGATTACTGATTGATTGATATTGTTGTGTCAACCGTGTCTATATATATAACATTGCCTTCTCAGATAATATTGATGTAAACAAGCACTAATTCACTCTCATTTGCTTCGTATACATCATTCTTCCTCAACGATTCATCACTATGCCCGGTTTTCTCCCATTTGAAATAACGGACAATTGTTTTTCAGAAAAGGTTTTCTTCCCTCTACATAACTCATTTACTAACTTAACATAGATAATGACTTATTTTGTAAGCCAAATTTTACTTTAATTTCTTAGGTCCTATTTAAAGTTAAATTGGTTGTGTTTGAATTTTAAAGGCTTAAGGCTAGCCTGGAAACTTAGAATCATAGTTTGAGAATTAGGAAAATAAAAGCAAAAAGTTGCACATCAGCTGCATAAGAGGTCTACCTGCCAGACATTATAACACTCAAAATCTTTAGAGGAAATAATTAACGGGTCAAGTGTGCTTCATTATTGATTGGTTGCAATCAAACGAGACGAAGAAAAGGCTTAAGAATCAGGCGATAAAATTCATTAAAAACGTTATGACAGTTCATGAAAATACATCCCATAAATGTAAACCTGAAATAAAATCCAAATGGTATCGCTAACTAGCTGGTAGGCATGATTTCTGGTTATTGTATGTACCCTTCAAAAGATTATCCATTTCATGGAAGAAAAACTGGCGGATCTAAAGACTGCAGGGCATCTAATTCAATGAACCAGAAGTTATTACAATCCTATATTTGGGCTTCTATAAAGGTAAATGTCTTCGATCCAATACATATCACAACTTGATATCATTTTCTAAGCTTCTGTTTCATCCTCTCAACAGCAGACCTAATAGTTTGCTCATCCTTGCAGAACGTAAATCTGACAAGATTCTTACCCTCTTCAGGATTCAAGTAAAATACACTGGTAGGAATAGCCACCACTCCCACTTCCTTAACCAGATATTCACAAAATGCAATATCATTTTCCAGTCCAAAAGGGGTGTGATCTACAACCACAAAGTAGGTTCCACTGGATGGGAATACCTTGAAGCCAACAGCCTTCAATCCCTCAACCAAAATAGCTTTCTTTGCCATGTAATCCCTCTTCAGCTCTGCATAGTAAGAGTCTGCTGCTCTCAGAGCTACTGCAGCAGCATACTGAAAAGGATGAGCGGTTGAAAAAGTGAGGTATGCGTGGGCTTGACGCACTCCCCATGATAAGTGTGGGGGCGCTATAGCCCAACCAATTTTCCATCCGGTTAAGGAAAATGTCTTCCCCAAGGAGTTCATTGTCACTGTCCTTTCGAACATTCCAGGCAAGGAAGCCAACGAAATGTGCTCCATATCAAAAGCCAACTTATCATAAACTTCATCAGTGAAAACCAGAACATCATTCTCAATGCAAAGAGATGCAATGCAGTCGAGCTCCTCACGTGTGAACATCTTTCCAGTAGGGTTGTGAGGTGTATTTAACAGAATAGCACGGGTATTCTTTGAGATAGTGGACTTAAACTCTTCAATAGGAACAGCAAAATTGGGAGGGCGCAAAGTAATGCTTTTGACTTTTGCACCGGCCATAGACAAAGTGGCCTCATAAGAATCATAAAAAGGAGCAAACAGAATAACCTCATCACCGGGATTTATTAATCCTAATACAGTTGCAGCAATTGCTTCTGTGCATCCAGATGTAACAGTAACTTCTTTTTCAGGGTCTACGACTAGTCCAGTATCTTTCTTAAATCTTTCAGCAATGGCAATGTTAAGGTCTGGAACTCCATAACCCCTAGCATACTGATTTTTCCCATCCCTGATTGCTTGAATCGCTGCTTCCTTTACAAACTCTGGACCATCAAAATTGGGAAAGCCTTGACCAAGGTTTATGGCTCCATGTTTGATGGCAAGTAAGCTCATTTGAGTGAAGATTGTAGTCTGAAACTTCTCTAAGCGCTTTGCAATCTGCAAACATACGACAATAACAAGAATCAAATTAAACATGTAGCTCAACTATGAACTATGAACTATGAACTATGAAATACTCATATATATGTTGATAGCAATCCAGGCCTAAATATTGAAACTAACCGTATCAAAAGGCTCAATGAGGGATCTGACCCAAATATGGCAGCAAGAGTTCGAAGATTACCAAAATACCTAGCTGATTACAACTTATAGAGTAGGGTTTTAGTGAGGGAATATTGATGTATGAGCTGTCAGTAATTTAGAGGATCTGTTGAGAGTTTGTTATTTCTCATTCTGTTATATATTCCTGAGCAATGAATAAATGGGGAGAAGAAGTTATTATCATATTTCCATTATCTTTTTCTGGAGGAGGCTCCTTGACCTCGAATCAAGGCAATTTACCTATCATTTTTTGTGCTCTCGTTGAGAGCATGACAGACCATAATACTCGTTCCAAATCCATCACCAACTTGGAAGAAGCTATTATGAAACTCACCCTCAATCAAAATGAGATTACGACCTGATTGAATTCTATCGCCTCTCAGCTAATTGCACGTGACCCATCGTCTCCACGTTCCAACGAACACCGTTCTCACCACAACAGCTCTTATCCATTCACCTCTAGACTAAAATTGGATGTTCCACGGTTTGATGGAAGCGATCCAATGGGTTGGATCTTTAAGATATCCCAGTTTTTTTACTATCACCAAACACCAGAGGCAGATCGACTCTGAGTGGCATCCTTCTACATGGACGGTCCAACCCTCAACTAGTTTCAATGGTTGCACAGGAACAATATGCTTCCTTCTTGGCAAGAGTTTTTGCAGGCCTTAGAGGTACGATTTGCTCCCTCTTACTATGAGGACCCCCATGGTGCTCTCTTCAAATTAACTCAAAAGGGTACTGTTCAGGATTATTTAACTGAATTCGAATGCCTTGCTAATCGCATAGTTGGACTTCCTGCTCCTTCTCTGTTGAGTAATTTCATTTTGGGGTTAAACCCGGATGTTCGTCGAGAGATATAGGCATTGCAACCTCAAACATTGTCTCAAGTGGCGGCTCTAGCCAAATTACAGGAGGATAAACTCCTTGACCAACGTTGACAATTGCGCCAGCAGTCCCCTTTCTTGTTGTCTTCCAATCCTCCCTTGCTGCCAACTCCACCATCCCATTCACAACCAATGCTCCCCAATCCACCCAAAACACATTATAAGAAGTTGACCCACGAAGAGATGTTGGTTCGTTGTGAAAAGGGACTGTGTCACAATTGTGATGACAAATTCAATCCGGGGCATAAATGCAAGTGTCGATTCTTTTTGTTGGTTGTTGTTGATGATGATGATGACAACGTGCAGATTGAGTCACCAACATCTGAGGTGGATCCAAGTCAGTCTCCTTTGGATGGCACAAATATGGGCCACAGTGAAGCCCAAATAAGCTTTAATGCTTTAGCAGGATTACCTGCTCCGGAAGCTCTTAGACTAGTGGGCCAGGTTGCAAAACAATCCATTACCATTTTAGTAGATGGGGGAAGTACTAATAACTTTATTCAAGATAGAGTAGCTAAATTCCTAAACTTGAAAGCTCAACCAATGCACACCCTGAAAGTAATGGTGGGAAATGGCAGTGAAATTGAGTGTCTTAGCATTTGTCTAGATGTCAAATTGATGATTCAAGGCCATAATTTTTTAGTGGACCTCCATGTCCTACCCATCAGTGGTGCATATGTCGTTCTTGGTATCCAATGGCTCAAGGAATTGGGCCCAATTGTCACCAATTATTCTCAACTCACAATGAAATTTGTCAAAGATGGACAATTTGTGGAGTTCAAAGTTGATGCACCTCCTAAGCCCATTTCAACCCAACAAGTCAAACGGCTTTTACAAACTCATGGGGCTGCAAATTTTTTTCATATTCGCATCCTCCCTAATAACCCTTCACAAAATTCTCCTACCACAACCCACACTGTCCCTACACACCATCTTCCCCAAATCTCTTCCCTTTTACACAAATATTATCAACTATTTCAAAAACTCCTTTCTCTACCCCCATCAAGACGTACTGACCACAAAATACACCTTCTCCTTAATTCCACACCTGTCACAGTTCGCCCCTACAGATACCCTCATTTTCAAAAGACTGAAATTGAGAAACAAGTAGAAGAAATGTTAAGTGAAGGTATGATACAACCCAACCATAGTCCTTTTTCGTCCTCCGTCCTACTTGTGAAAAAAAACATTGTAGCTGGCGATTTTGCGTTGATTTTCGTGCTCTTAACGCCATTACAATCAAGGACAAGTTTCCTATTCCAACAATTGATGAACTCTTGGATGAGTTGGGAGGGGCATCTTGGTTCTCGAAATTGAATTTACGGCAAGGCTATCATCAAATCCGCATGAATGAGGATGACATTCCAAAAACAACATTTCGTACTCATCAGGGACACTATGAGTACACAATCATGCCATTTGGGCTATGCAATGCCCCTTCCACTTTTCAGGCTACAATGAATGAGTTGCTCAAGCCCTTAATGCGTAAATTTTTTATTGTCTTTTTTGACAATATCCTCGTATATAGCAAGTCACAGGCAAAACATCCCCATTTGGAACAAACATTCCGGAAATTATTGCAAGGGGAGTTTTTCTTGCGGGGTTCCAAATGCTTGTTTGCCCAACAACAGTTGAAGTATCTTGGACATGAGGTTTCGTCAGTTGGAGTAGCTCCTGAGAATTAAAAAATTCAAGCAATGTTGGATTGGCCTCCACCTTCCACAATCAAAGCTCTTCGTGGTTTTTTGGGACTGACGGGGTTTTAGAGGCGTTTCATCAAACATAGCCTCTCCTCTTACTGCTCTCTTAAAAAAGACGTGTTTGCATGGTCAGAGGGAGCTCAAAAGGCCTTTGATAATCTCAAGAAGACCATGACAGAGGCACCAGTCTTAGCTCTTCCAAATTTTGATCTGCCCTTTGTCCTGGAGACTGATGCATCAGGTTTGGCCATGGGATCGGTTCTTATGCAAAAAGGACACCCTATAACATTCCATAGCAAACCATTTTGTCTGAAGCTTATGCGTTCCTCTACGTACATAAGGGAACTCCATGCCATCACTTTTGCTATCAAGAAATGGAGACAATATCTCCTTGGGCATTCCTATACAATTCTCATGGATCATCACAACCTTAAGGATTTAATGACGCAAGTTATCCAAACTCCTGAGCAACAAATTTATCTATCAAAACTATTAGGTTTTGATTAATCCATTCAGTATAAAGCAGGGAAGGCTAACGTCGTGGCTGATGCCCTATCACGACCTTATGATTTTGGTGAGAGTCAAATCTTTATTTTATCTATGCCTCAATTTAAGTTCCTAGAAGAACTCCGCAAGGCTTTGCAAACTAGTCCTGAATTTGTTCAGATATTCAAGGATGTACAGAGTAATCCTGATGCTCATGAGCATTATAGCATCCATCACCAACTTTTGTTGTATAAAGGCAAGATTTGGCTCAACAATGACAACCCTTTCATTCAAGTGTTGCTGGAGGAATTTCACAAAACACCCTTAAGTAGTCATACAGGGGTTGCTAAGACTTTGTTGCGGCTACAACAAAACTTCTACTAGCAGGGTATGCGTGATGATGTCCACAAGTTCGTGACTCAGTGTGTCACATGCTTGCAAACTAATTATGAAACTAAACGACCTGCTAGCCTGTTCCAACCTTTATCTATTCCATTGGAACCATGGGTTGACCTGTCATTAGATTTCATTACTGGTTTGCCACTTTTTCAAGGCAGTATAGTCGTACTAGTGGTGGTTGATCGATTTTCCAAGGGTGCTCAATTCGGCACATTACCCACTCAATTCACTTCCTTCAAAGTTGCACAACTCTTCTTGGACATGGTTTGTAAGCACCATGGTTTTCCTCGCAGCTTGGTCTCAGACTGTGATCCGGTCTTCATCAACAAATTTTGGAGAGAGTTATTCCGTTTGTGTGGCACTAAGCTCCGAATGAGCACTTCCTTTCATCCCGAAACTGACGGGTAAACAGAGGCCCTTAACAGGATCTTAGAATAGTATCTGCGTTCCATGGTGCATAATAAGCCTGCGGATTGGGGCAAGTACTTGGGGTTAGCTGAATGGTGTTACAATATGACTACTCATTCAGCTACAGGGATGTCTTCTTTCCAAGTCACATATGGGAAGGAACCTCCATCCATTCCTCAGTATTTGGCAGGCACCTCTGCTGTTGAAGCAGTTGATTCTTTACTTTCAACTCGCCAAGACATGATCGATACCCTTTGAAAGCAACTTCAAGAGGTACAAAATCAGATGAAATTTGTTGCGGACAGCAAGCGACGTATGGTGGAATATCAGGTTGATGACTAGGTATATGTTCGCCTTAGGCCCTACCCGCCAAAATTCAATAAGGGGTGTCGCTTATCCGAAATTGGGTAAGCGCTTTTATGGCCCTTTTTGCGTAATTGAGCGAATTGGACCGGTTGCATACAGATTAGAGCTGCCTTCAACTTCCAAAGTCCATCCAGACTTTCATTGCTCCGTGCTTAAGGCTCATCACGGCCCCCTCCCTGCTCAACAAGAGGTGTTACCCATTGCCACACAAGGTAACAATCCGACTATCGCTCCTATAGCCATATTGGACTCCAAATGGGACAATTCCACATCCCCTCCTACTGAAATGGTCTTGGTGCAATGGATGGGACTAGCTCCAGAGGACAAGGTGATTATTGGAATGCGCTACGCTTGAACTTATCACCTTGAGGACAAGGTGATTTTCCCAGGGAGCAGTAATGATAGCAATCCAGGCCCAAATATTGAAACTAACTGTATCAAAGGGCCCAATGAGGGATCTGTCCCAAATATGGCAGCAAGGGTTCGAATGTTACCAAAATACCTAGTTGATTACAACTTATAAAGTAGGGTTTTGGTGAGGAAATATTGATGTATGAGCTGTCAGTAATTTAGAGGGTCTACTGAGAGTTTGTTATTTCTCATTCTGTTATATATTCCTGAGCAATGAATAAATGGGGAGAAGAAGTTACTATCGCTTCCCCAAACCCTCCTCTTTTTACCAGGCAATATGTGATCTTAGGTCCTTGCACTAGAATGTTTTAGTTTTTTTTAACAGAACATGTTCAGATAAACTTCTCTACAAACAGACAGGAAAGGAAAATAAGAAAAAAAGTTCAATAAATTTTAACGAGTTAAGATTAAACTTTTGAAAGAGAAGGGTTTTACAAATTAGTTCATGCAGAGTTAATTTAGCTTTCTATTAAACTTATTTTATTTTTCCTTCTTATTTTCTTCTTCTACAACCCTAGTTTGTGAAGAAAATTATCCCCAAAAATGCGACTATACCAAAACCCTTCAATTTGTTCGGGTACCATAGCAACTACATAAATCAAAGGAAACTGAAGAACAAGGGTGATTTAAAATGTGTAAATGTCCCATCCCATATATGCAAGGACACCGTAGCATGATGTAAATACTAAGAAAGAGGAAGTCAGTAAAAATTGATGGTGAGATAAAAAGATAATACGATTACATGCAGACATCTAATTTAGCTAAGAACATTAAAATCTTCATGCATGATAAAGGGATCTGGAAATGTAATTATCTAAAGGGGGGAAATCGGGCGAACCTGCAAAGGTTGATGCGTTTTGTGGGTTGCCTTGTCGTTCTGAGTGGAAACCGTCGACATGGTGGCGGCAATGGAAGATGGGAACGTTGGGGTAAGAAAAAAATAGGGGAACTTTGAAATGCCTAAGAAATTGGATGAAGGCGTAAATCTCATAATTATATATGGGCAACTACTACAGTACTGGGTTCAGATACAATTTGATTCTTTCAACTGAACTCTCTCCTAGTTGCTGACTCTATGGCTGCTAATGCTATAGGATTTTTATTTTCTTTTTTTGATATAATAATATCATTATTTATTTTAAGTTTTATTTTTAAAATATATAATAGATTAAAGAAGATGAATTTGATCTATGAGAAAAAAAAATGAAGTAAAAACTTTTAAATAGAACAGCGTGCCACATGCAACCTAGGCTTGGTCAAGGGAATATATGTAATTTGACCACGATGGTGGCTTCGGATTCAACACACCACTGTTCCACCCTTGATCAATCGGGTTCGGGACAGGGAATATCTACATTTCACGTTGTTGCATGTCATTGTCATGTGCAACATGAAATTAAAAAATAAATTTAATTAAAATATACTATCTCAAATATTATTATCAAAAAATTACTTTAAAGTGTTATTCTCTACATCATTATTTAATATTTATTCTCGTTAAATAAATATTTTTTTATAATATTTATTAAATCTACACTTAATTTTTTTAGTTAATTAAGACTGTACACTCATTATACATTATAATTAATATATATATATATATATATATGTTAATAATTTTAATATATTCCGTTCATTATGATTTAATATACTATTTTTTAATAAAAATTATATAAATAAGAAAAAAATTGCTTAATTTTTTAATTATTTTTCAAAATAAACTCCAGTGTCTGCATAGTATAATAAGAGTACATAAAAATGACACTTTTTAAATTGAGTAAGAAGCTCACAGTGGGAATTAGTGATTGTATTGATTTCTTTTCAATTAATAGAAAAGAAACATTCTAAAATAAGGAAGAAAAGATAACAATAATTATAGAGAAAAAGAATTTTAAATTGTTCTTTCGTATTTCTCTTAATAAGATAAATGTGTCCTTGACATGAAATATTAGTTCTTTGTTTTTTTTTTCCTATACAAACTTCTTTGTCTGTATACAGAAAGTACAAAAGTAAAATGCGTGGTCGAGAAATAGATATTGTACGGGCAAGTCCATTTCATGTACACACATACTTTTTTTTTAAATTTATATATAATATTAGAAGAGTTTTATAAAATTATTTAAAGTTTTAATTACATTAAAAAGATATTGTAAACTGAGAGTATAAACTCAACCAGCATTTTTAATATTAAAATATAAAATAATATCTTTTAAATTTCACCCTCAAAATATTTGAATACTAAATTTTTTCTCAAATAAACTTATATTTATCATAGTAATTATTAGTATATAGCAAAATAGTTATTTATCTGATTATTTTTTAATTTTTTTATTACCAAATTAGTCTTAATTTTTAAAATCAATCAATATAATTAGTTTGTTAACTACTTTAAATTATATATATAATTTACATCAATTTATTTATCTAATAGATTTGTTTATTTTTATATGTAATTTGTTTTTCTCGCCGTATTTTTTTCTTTTCTATCAAATTCTCTTATCTCCTCTCCTACTTATTCTTTTAATTAAAATTATTATATTATAATTTAATTAAAACATATTAAATTACATTTTTTTAAATTAATATTAAAATTAAAAATATTAACTAATTATTTAAAATTAAGATGATAATAAATAATTTTATTTATAATGATATAAATAATTAATTTATAATTATATTATCATAATAAATTAATTATTCATCTAATAAAAAATATCAAATATTTATAAGTTAAATGTCTTTTTATTTAATAATTTAATTATCATGTTAAGTTACGATATTAGATAATGTAACAAAATATTTATTAACAAAATTACTTAAAAATAAATATTTATTTTTTTATTAATAATTATAACAGTATTTCACAATTATCGTATAATATTTTTTAAAATATAATATAGTAAATTATAATATTTTTTGAATAATTCAAATATTTTTTATTTTTCAAAAATAATAAAAAATATATTTTATTAATATTTTTATTTAGAAAAATAAGATGAAAAAAATAAATACATTATTTTTTATTATTAAATTTTGTATATAAATAAAATACATCATTAATTGGATAAATAAATTTACCTATACTCTTTTTAAATAATTATTTTTTTAAAATATATTATTTATGAGATTAATTTTAAAATAAACTTTAATTTATCAAATTTAGATGAAAAAAATATTATTTAACAACTTTTAAAATAAATCAAATAATAGTTAATAATTTTTTATATAATAAAATATTATTGAATATAATTAAAATATATTTAACCTCTTATATATATTTATTTTTAAATATATATATATATATATATATATATATATGAGAGAGAGAGAGAGAGAGAGAGAGAGAGAGATTTTTAATTTTTAATAATTTTATTTAATATATTTATTTTTCCGTCATTGTTTTAATATATGTATATTAACTTATTCGAGCTCTTAGTTTAGAATTTCTAATTCCTTTCTTAAATGTCAGCACACATCTTTTATTAGATAGCTTGTATAGTTAACGGAAAAATCAAATTGATTATTCTTAACAAAAAATAACCAAATCGAAATAAAGAAATAAAATTTAAAGAAAATTAAGAATAATAAATAAAACTATTTAACCTTAATATTTTAATTATTTATATAAACACATGAATAACTATAAAATATCATATAATAATTTTTAATATTACAGTTACATTATGTAATGTGTACAGGTGTATTTTGATAATTTTGTAGCCCTAATCTAAAAAATCATTTAAAAATCGAATCTGAATAGTATGTGATAGTTTAAAGAAAATGATATATGTTAGGATTATTAACAAAGAAAATTAATATTTTCGTACAGAAATTTTAGGCAATGGAAGGTTTTCTAAACCAGATTATCATAACACCAAATATTGAAATTCAAATTTTATATTTACAACGGTGATAGGTTGAGAATCGTTTGTATTAAATTATTATTATAATATTAAGGACGGTTATAAACAGGATGTTTAAAAGAATTCAGGTGTCAAGATATTATTTTTTTTCTTTCAAATGGAAGACCCAGAAATACGTGAATTTCATGTATTTTCAGGTATAAAATGGTAGAAATCGAAAAACATATTCTTACTTTTTTGTATGAAAACAAATATTTGTTTAAATATAATCCACTATAAGATTATTTATAATAAATTATTTCTTTATTATGAATAAATATTTTTACTTAATATATATTTTTTATTTTTTATTATTATAATAAATAATTCTAAAAAATATTAAATAATAAATAAATTTATTTTACTTTTCACTCTTTTTTATTATTTTATCATAATCTAAATAACGTCATTTTCTATACTTTTTCTCACTTTTCCCACTAAGTCAATTAAACTCTGTAAAAACCAAATATTAATCCCGAACTTCCTTCAACCATGTCCACTGCTTTCACTGAAAATGAAACCACCATTCAGAAAACCAATAACATTTATTTTCATGATATATTTATGAATGTTTTTGCAGATGGGGTTTCCTATAAGTATTCTTATTGGCTTGTGACCCTGTGAAACTTTTTCTTTTCCATTGATTTGCCATTGAATGTCGTGGATGCCCCAGCAGTTTCTCTGCTTCTCATCAATGAATGATTTAACTGGGTGAAAGTTTTTAAGCTCTCATCAGTTATCTAGGTCCAGTTTGGATGAAAGAGTACCTCTAAGAATGATAAATTTATATATATTTTATGTTTTTTTTTTTAAATTATCTTACCCTTCCAGAAACTGATGGGTGTAATTTGATCAAACTTTTGAATAAAGCTAAGTTTTCTTCTTCTTTTTTTCATGGAGTGGTCATTGAAAAATGTATTAGTGTCTTTAACGGTCTTATGCATCTACTGATAAAATTAGATAAAATCTACCTAAGCAGTTCACACACATTCAAAGTTTTATCCACTTTTGTGTAATTTATATTCTTAATTTCTTGACAAAGGTTATATACTATATAATATATATTTGCTAAATTCATTTGGTTTATTTGATGATGTTAGCCTCTTTAACTAATCAAATCTTCTCAATCGTTTCAAGATCAGATGACCAAGTCTTATTACCTGGTAGAAGTGAAGGATTTTTGTATGAGAATGACTCATGAGCCATGCCTTTACTTTGATTCTTCTTGGTTTTTTCTTTGCTTGTCAGGTTGCGAAGCGCTTAGGCTTTGTTTGGTTGGAGTGATTTGAGAGAGTGGAAATGAGAGAGTGGAAAAGGAGGGATTTGAAGAGAAATGGAGATAAAGTTAAAGTTGTTTGGATGAATGGAAAGTGATAGGAAAGTTTATGGGAAATTGTGAATGATTTGATTGATATGAGATATAAAAATTATAATTTTAATTGATTATTTAAAAAAATTACCATTTTACCCTTTGTATAAAATAAGGTTCAAATGATTATAAATATAATTTTTTAATTAATTATCCATATTTTAACATTGATTATATATTTAAAAGAAAAAACAAATTTAAAAGTGTTTGTAATTGGAAACAAATTTAAAAAATTAACTTTTTTTAGATAGTTATTAAAAATTATATAAATAAACAATTACAAAATTATGTACATTGCATATCCATATTCAAATAATGTTGACATATTAAAAAATAAATTTTACTAATAATTAAATAATTATAAAATATGACAGTCGAATTCGAATATGACAGGTCAGAATGAAATATAATCGATCAGACTTTAAAACTGAGCGATCAGATTTATTTTAATCGATTAAAACACGTTTTAATCGATTAAAACCACTTTGGAAGTCACGATGATCGATCAAAATGATATTATGACCGATCAGAGTTGGTTATGATCGATCAAAATTGAATTATGACCGATCAGAATTATTTCAATCGATTAAAACGAACTTTCAATCGATTAAAAAGACTTGAAAAGTT